GGGGGGGGGGGGGGGGGGGGAGGAGGGATCTTAGAAAAAATCTCTTCCATGGGGGAGGTGTGGATATTTTCTGGAACTATACATTGTCAGTAGCTTAGACCAATTCGGTAGTGATATACCATGGTATTGTCTTGTAAGCATTGTAAGTGGTGCATTGTTTTGTATTTTTCTGTTTTATTGTTTTGTCATTGGAAAAAGAAAGTTAAAAACGAAATAGTTCAAGCAGTGTGGAGGTAGTAAAGGAAATAACTCAGCCATATAAAAAAGCATTAGTTTTTTGCGCGAATCCTGTCAAAACTGCCAGTTGATTTCAGTTTTTGATGAATTCCTTGGTGCCTTTCAACTTTAGAAAACTATTACCTTGATGAGGTTTCTTCCTTTTTGAAAATAATTTTTGAACATTAGACAAATGACTTAAACCATGGAAGTTAACAAATCGAATGTGGTTTAGCGTTGTCTGTACTCTTATCGACAATGATATGCGTCATTACAGCGGTCAAAATGTTGTGAACTCACGAGGCACAGCCACAACAAATTTTGACCTCTGTGATATCGTTGTCGATAAGAGTACAGACAACGATAAACCACATTCGATTTGTTTTTTACCACAATACATGTATCAACGTCAAAGAAAATGTTTTTTTTCAGAGCGTGACCAAGAGCGTGACACATTGACGCGGGCAGCGTTGTCTGGAGTCTTATTGACAATGGCAGATTAGCCAATCAGATTGCGAGATTTGTAGCAATTGTGGTAAATCCTAGGTGAAAGCTTGCAAATACAATATAAAAGAACTTGCCAGTTGTCTGGAAACGGTAATACTTATAATAAATTTTGATATTTTCAGGTTTGGCGTTAAAGGACCGGCTCTTAGAATTGAACTGGTAAGTAACCACAAAATATCCGTTTTTAATCCATGGGGAATGCGCTAATAAGAGGGCAGAAGACCCTTTGTTCAGTTTGCGTTATTGCATGGATTTTATAACGTGCGAGGTCGCCAATCAGAGCTTCCGGTTGTTTCCCGCTGGAAACTGAGGGACGGGATAAGAGAGTTATTTGATGCTTTCTCGTGTTATACCGTATTTACCACCAAATCGGGTCTTGATAAGTCGCATTAATTTGCATATAGAAACTCGCTCAAAAGACGTACAATAGTCTAATTCAGTGAAGTCTGTCGGATATTCACGGTCTTAATCCGACAGCAAGCGAAGGTTAAAGTTGGAACGATTTCTTAGTCATGCATTGATGAATCTTACGAAACTCTTAGGCTTACCTCAAGTGGGATAAGCAGTCTTTATGAGTTAAGCCAGTACATTGTTCGCCTATTTTCAGATTGGTTTCACCGGAAAGGAGGGCAAAAATCAGCTCGGTTGTCCCATAGCCAGATGGGTGAGTCAATCTGTGCGGTAGATATATGAAATCAAATGCTTGTTGCGCCTATTACTGACCTACTGAATACGCCAAAACAAAGCTTTGGGAAATATTTAGCCAGATTAAAGACAAGCATGCATGGCTTATCGTCCTAGGTTTACTTAGGGCGTTGTATGGTATTTCACAACAGAGCGTAACACTAATCAGCTTGGAATAAAGGCGCTTTTAACTTAAGAAATGATTGTAACAGGAGCGACAGGGCCAGACTAACGAAAGTTTTAAATTGCGTGCGAGAACTAACTGAGCGTTTGCAATTCCGCAATTGACGATTCAGGGCAAGTTAAGCGAAGCTTTAAAACATTTGTTGCTACGCTACCGAAATCACCTACTCTAGAAACTAGAAACTGAAACGTTTAGTCTTCAGTGATAAAAGCTTACACAGACCTAATTTTTCTCCCATCATTAAAACAAATTTATCCTTAGACGCTAGAAAAACGTTTTTTCTTAGCTTTTAACATGCCAACTTTTGAATTGAACCACATGTAGGTTCTTCGTCGGTCCAGTGAAGAGGAAAAAATCTTGGTCATTGCACGGAAACGTGCTGATCACGTGTGTGAAACGTCACTTAACGTGGTGAACATTGTATTATGGGAAGGCATTACGCAGGAGCGAGCAGATAGTCTCTACAAGGAGCTAAGTACAGTTCTGCCTCAGCATGGCCTCCCTACAGCAAGAAGATGTGGTATCAATGAAACGTAAGAAAATGCTTTGTTCTCTAAGGCACCGTCCACACTACGCCGAGGAAATTTAAAAACGGAGTTTTCACTCTCAAAACGCATCAAATATTTTCCGCCCACACTACGCCGTAGGAATTTAAAAACGGAGGTTTCACTGTGAAAACGCATCAAATGTTTTCCGCCCACCCTACGCCGTAGGAATTTAAAAACGGAGGTTTCACTCTGAAAACGCATCAAATGTTTTCCGTCCACATTGCGCCGGAGGAATTTAAAAGTGCAACAATTAGCCGTCAGTTTGGATTTGTGTCTGAGGAAAACTCGAACATGGAAATCACGGGATTATCATGAGGTCGACGTTTTCGAAAAGCTCCTTTGTCAAAATATTTTCTGTCCACACGAAAACGCAAAGCCGTCGTTTTCACATTCCTCCGGTTTGAAGAGCGTTTTCGAAAAGCTTCGTTTTCGTGACGGATTAGTGTGGACGGTAGGCCTAACCGTGGAAATGAAGCTGCGGTTTCAAATTCCTCAGGCATAGCGTGGACGGGGTCAAATTTTCTACTCATTCTCGTCCGGTTATTATTATTATTTTTTGTTTCTGTCTCAATTTATACATTACGTTGAGAAAAATACCAGACGCACCCCATCCCTTACTTATTAATTACTTCCTATTGATTATTGTTTTGCAGAAAATCGTGTGCCTGTCAGGGGGTTAGCGAGGAGACTTGTGGCGCGTCTTTCTCGTTCGGCTGCTCTTGGAGTATGTACTATAACGGTTGTAAGTTCACTCGAAGCAAAACGCCGCGGAAGTTTAAATTGCTCGATCCCTCCAAGGTAGGCTGTAAAATGGACCTACCACGCGAAATTACTTAGGTAAAGGTAAAGGTAAAGGTAAACTTTATTTAGCCAGGGTGGCCCATTCAGCGACGAGGCTGATATTCAGAGGGGCCCTGGACTAAAAATATAATAATTAAAAATACAACACATCATGATAATTTAAAAATACATGATAAAATGTAAAAAATACGAGGTGTAAATTTAAAAATACAAGTAATAATTAAAAGTGTAGAGTATAAACGAGCATGTAATAATTCACTTCTGCTGCTTTTATTGGAATGGTCATACTCTAAGGTTTAATCCATAGACTTGAAAGCTAGCATCAATTTGTACAGCGTAATAAACAATACCACATGAAAGTACTGCTCAGTAGCTTTCATTTGAATCGTCACTTACTAGGGTTTCATCCACAGACTTAAAAGTAAGAACCACCTCGTACAGCATAATAAACGGTGTCACATGACAGTACTGCTCAATAGCTTTCATTTGAATGGCCACACGCTAAGGTTTCATCCACAGACTTAAAAGTTAGAACCACCTCGTACAGCATAATAAACGGTGTCACATGAAAGTACTGCTCAATAGCTTTCATTTGAATGGCCACACACTAGGGTTTCATCCACAGACTTAAANCATTGACTTAAATGATGAACCGTGGTTTACATCTTTTAACTTAAACAGTACTACAGTGAGTACTTAGGGTTTTGTTTCAAATTTTTTGAGATAGAACCACACAATTGAACCGCAATTTACTGTAGTAGCAGAATGGTTAATTTCAGTAGATTCTGAGGAACGTTTCTCTTTCCATTACACGAACAGGAGGAGGAATTTGAAAAAATGATGCACAGTTTGGCAGCTGATTTGTCGGTTGTGTACGAAAAGTTTGCCCCACAAGCCTTCGATAACCAGGTAAATTATAATCAGTAGTTCTAATAATAGCCCTCTGTGGAAAACGATTCTCAAACTGAGACATTTGCCACCTATCATTGCCTTTTATTGTTTTCTTGTCTATTAAATTTTTCAAACTGTCAAGTGGAAATGATAACGTTCTTTGTAAGAAAAGTCGCATTTTGACACCTGTAACCAAGGGTGATCGTTCTTATATCCCAAGAAAGCCATATTTTATCTTTTGGCGTACACCGAATTGCACAGTTATCGATAAAAAGGGAACTTAAGCAATGACTACGGCGACACCAAGGTCGACACCTAGTTAAAATAGGAGTTATATTTTACCTTCGAATTTCGTAACTATCTCAATCTGTTCAGTGCGCCAGTCGGTCTGAAAACCTGCCCAAACTAAATATGTCAATGCCTGCCATCAATTCCAAAACGAAATACAAAAAAAAAAACTGCCGTCCTGGCGTATAGCAACGTTCTCCAAAATACGCAGAACTTGGTCATTTCGCGTTGTTGTTTTGCAGAGGACGTCTACGAAATGTACAGCGATTTAAAACGCACATGTACAGCCGTTGTTTTGCGCATTGAACTTTTTGTTTGGCGACGTTTTCGTGGCCGTTGCCGTCGTGGTTTGCTTTAGCTCCCTAATATTATTGAAGGCAATAGCTAGTAATGTCGCGCCTTTCTCCCTGCAGAACCTTGTCATTTCCACCTAGCAATGTCCTTCATTTTGCTTTGCAACGCAATCAATCAACCCTTACAACTCATTTTTTTGCGTTATAATTCTTGGTACATTTCTTTGTCGTCCTCTGTAAATCAACAACATGAAATGACCAATTTCCACGTTTTTTGACAACGGGAGCAACTACGGCTAATTTTTCGTATTCCTATTTGGAACTGAACGCATTCGTAGCATATTCAGCAGGGGCAAGTTTTAATACCGACAAACACACTGAACAGATCTACGGAAATGCGAAATTCTACAGTAAAATATCAACACACTTTTAAATAGGCGTTGTCCTTGCCGTCGCCGTGGTATATACGTAAGGTCCCTTATACTAAACGGCAGAAAATCCAAGATGACTAACAGAAAATTCGAAACACGCAACTCGCGTCGAGGTGTACATTCTCAACTCGAACTCAGTCTCTCCCTCGTGGGAGTGACATATATTAAGAAGGAATCTACCAGAAGTTCGTGTAACAAGCCGACAAAAACTTTGTACCGAAGTTATTTACATTGTTTTGCAAACTTCCGTGCGACTGTTTTTAATTATCTTCTCACAAGAAGCTAGTTGCAGTCCAATACCGAGAAAACGAAACTGGTCTATTGCCGCGTCATTCTCGGCGATCACAGTGTGATGGTGCTTTAAGAGTATTTGGGTAGTGTCGCCACCTCAGGATAAATGCGTAAAATCGTTCTAATTCCAGGTAAGACAAGAAAAGGAGGGCCTCGAATGCCGCATCGGAAACAACGACAAGCGCCCGTTCTCGGGTGTCACGTGCTGTATGGATTTCTGTGCGCACAGCCATAAGGACTCCAGGAATATGGACGGTGGAGCCACACTGGTAACAACAGTTGTTTCTATATTGTGACTAACACGAAACACTATGCCTAGCTACAAAACAGACATTACTCTCTCTAGTAAATAAGAGCATTGAAATCTTTCCTCGAAACAACGAACAGACTTGCAAGGTCGTTCGCAGACCCCTCGTATGTCACCGGGCTCCAAGGAATAAACCGGAAAGGAACAGGTAGGACTTTTAAGGTCGAGCCTTCGCTAGAAGACACTTCCAGTCAGCGGACACGTAGTGTTGATCCCAGTCACATACAAATCCTACTCACAATTGTATCTTGGCATAAGAGGAAAGTTCTCAGAATGGGCAGTTTTTTCTGGTTTTAAGGGTGTCCTCTAAGACTGATGATTACTAAAGACCAAGAAGAAAAGTGTAGATTAAAGTGTCCAATCGTCCCATCTTGCTTTTCAGTTTCTTATCGTTGCTAAGAAACCAGGAGACTGTTCTGTGCTTGTCTTTGTTTTGACCTGTCTTTAATGTTGTCATTGTTTGTTATATGCTGACGGTTTGTTTTTATTGTTGCCATTGTCGCAGGTTTGCTCCCTTCTGAGGCCAGGCTCTTACAACTCCAAAGATGAACAGCTTCATGTCCTACCGTTATACCGCTTACTGGATAAGGATGGTTGTCCTGTGGCGCCAAATTACTTCATGCCCAGCCACTTTCTTGAGCCTCCTGTGGGTGTGTCTCCAGGGTACTCGACCGTCACAGGACAAGAAAATTCTCCTAAAGGAAACAAAGCAGCAAACAACCAAGACCAACAGCTCAAGCAGGAGCGCAAAGAAATCTTTCAGGATGTAAACAACAACAGCAACAACGGCAATCAGTCTTTCCTGTCGTTTGATGGACAACGCATCCCACACGGACATGCGCAGACAATGCACGGGTTTCCCAATTCTGTGATTCATCATCATCCAGCCTCTAACCACGTGATGAGCAATTGTTATAACGGACAGTACCCCCCTCATGGCTCACCGTTGTTCCAGTTTCATCCTCACCTTGGGAACGGCTTCGTTCTGAACCACTGCCGTGCGCCCGAGGTGCACTGGGTCGACGAGAACCACATACCATATTTGTATCGAAATCCGGGACACCTGAACCACTACCACAACTCCAGCAGCAATTACAATAACTATGATAATTACGATAGAAAGGTTCCCATTGTGAGTGGACCGTGGAACTGTCGGTTGCCTTTTGGTAAATCCTTTGGGATGAGCGGCACCCAGTCGAGTAGAGGTTCGGAGTATGCAAAACCAAAGACGGTTATTCACCACTACAATGGTGCCCCTAACGATATCGTAAGAGACCCTTCTCAGATCAAGTGGGTCGATGATAAGGAGGTTCCTCTGATGAGAGCCTCAAACAGTGTTCCACTGGACGAGAATGCTAATGTAAAGGAAGACGTGGAAAATCGAAAAACTGGCAAAGACCTCGTACACGTAGAACATCCTCGTAAACCGTTCCAGATCGAGGAGAATATGGGTGGGGTGGCTATTGCTCTTACCCATGGGTCTCTGCTCATTGAGGTAGCGAAAAAAGAACTTCATGCAACGACGCCTCTTAAGAATCCCACTCGACAGCATCCAACCCGCATCAGCCTCGTGTTTTACCAACACAAGCACATGAACCTTACACTTCATGGCCTGGGAGAATGGGAGCAGAAGGTGGCTAGGAAGAAGCTAGAAGGGGAATCCGCTGCCAGCATGGAGACGGATGCAGCGGAGAAGGAGGCTTCCCCCGATTCAAACGTGGAAGAGCGTGAGGTGGGATATCTGGACATGCTGGCAGAGACGGCGCTTTCCAGAGCCGACATTGATCCTGGTGTTACAAACAGGCGTGATTCTTATGCGGCCCATCCTGTTGAGGTAGCATCGGTGAATGCCAATACTGTACATCGAAATGAGATGCACGATCCCACGGGTGCCCGTACTCCGACAGGTTCATCAGATCGTTTGCAATGTACTCAACAAGTTAAGAATGGAATGCTTTATCACGAATTTTCAAGAGTACGTAACCACATTAACTCTTCTAAGTTTCTTCCAGTTAATGAGGTGAACGAACGTAGCGGACGAAATACCGGTGAGGACGTTCCATCTAAATTGTCCCCAACAAAACCTGAGCAAAATAACCACCTTCCCAAGCCAATTGAATTGGTCTCAGGTGGGACCCGTCAGGAGCAGTTATGGATAAATGAGCTAAACACTTCACAGAACAAGGAGCCGTCTCCCAACACGCGGCAGCAAAGCTGGGGATCTTCTCTTCATTCCCATCCAAATAGCGAAGGACTAAAAAGCAAACTCTTGTTCAGTGATGCGTCTACGAGTGAGGGAAGCAGGCTAACCTCAAACCAGGCCTTGCCAGGACAAAACGTCGATGCAATTCATAGAGAGCCATCGCAGGATGAAGGACTCAAAAACTTCTCTACCCCTAACGGGGTGATCCCTGAGAGGGTGTTGAATATTCATGCTAGGAGTTTAGGCTCCCATAAAGATGTTGTCGCTGAACCGTCTACGACCAAGCCACGCGAGGAACGTAGCCACACTGGCTCCAACTTCAGTGTTTCAAGGCTTTTAGGAGATGAAAACAACAAAGAGAGCAAACCTAGTAGCGGTGCTTCCTCGTCGTACCGGATAAGCAGCATTCTTGGAGACGAGAAAACGTTACCAGGCGGACAGGGTGAAACTGAGCTAGATAAGACTCGTCAGCCCATTTGTCAGGCTCGGTCGTCTGATAAGGAGCCTGAGGTCTCCACGAGGCACCATTCTGTTTCAGACCCTCCGTTGCAAGTACCGACTGTTCCTGTCACTCCAAGATTTCCATTTATGCCGCCATTTCCTCATTCCGCAGGGAACAGAGACAAATTTTCTGCTGGTCCAGAAAGATCTTATCTTGACTTCTCAATGGCGGCCAATCGCCTGTTCGGGTACAGTCCGTACAAATTCGGAGTTCCGTTCCCGACTTATCCCAGTTTCTTCATGCCGCCTTTCCATCCACTTTTAGCGGCGGGAAATGGGCTTTCGTCGAACTTAGCTTTAGTTAATTCGCAAAACTATTTGTCCTCTTTTGTGGATTCTGCGAAGCGGATCGGAGAAATGAGTGGCATGGGACTTGATCCTGCATCGCTGACAACCATTTCCACTGCGACGCGGACTGGTGTGAGTTATCCAATAGACACGCTTATTACTGTTGCACCTTATACTCAAACCTGTGTCACAGGTCATTACCAGAACTGGCTTTGATCCTGCTTGTGCCACAGGAAACTATCAAAACTGGTTCAGTAAGTACAAACTGATGTAAACCTCTGAGGTTATTCGCAGACAAGGTGCTTAATTGTTAGTTGTACACAATAACGCCGGGATCGCATATTTTGATCATACTTAACACGACTTACTGAAAGCTGTTCTGCAAGCTTTTGCTTTGCTTAGCTGGAGTGCACAAAGTTTTCTCTTTCGCGGTTAGTTCTTCCTCCTCTCAGAGATGTCTGGGACTGGGCCTGAAAAATTCCATTTCGATTACGTAGCTCTAATGAGAGAATTGTGGTGTCTGATTGGTTGTTGCTCAGTTTTCGCGCGTAAATAACGACCAATCAGAGAGCTGCATGGATCTCAGTGGTGCTACGAATTCAGCACGGAATATATCGTCTCGAATTACCGACGACTTTGGAGCGGGGAAGGATTGACCTCGTTGAAAGAAACTTTTGTTACTCCAGCTAGTTTGTGTCTTCAAGAAAGACGTTTCACGCGGTTCACCTCGAGCTTAGAAATACAATTTTGCAGGAACAGTTTGTTCGACATTAATAGCCTTGTTTCTCGAGCCATTCTGGCCCAAAGCGAGAAATCTTCATAGTAAACACGTAATCAGCTCCCGTGGGGGACCCCCATGTTAAAAAGTCGGGGACGCTCGTAGGAAAATTTCAATGAAACTACTGTGGAGACCAATCTGGGTGCGGCTCGGACTTGATTTCACCCCGTAAGTATACCACTTAAAACGAAATAGGCTCTATTTCCAGCCGCTGTTCAGGAAGGGAGCCCGCGCTAATAGACCGGACTCGAGATACCGGCGGAAATTGAGCCTAAAAACGGAAATAAGAGCCTTTTTATAATTATTTCTTCGAGTGCACCCTAAGATACTTTGACAGCTAAAATTAGTGGCGTTTCGTCATGAACACCCTGATTGAGACTAGAATCCTTGATTTATACCCCTAAGCGAGACGAAGAGCATCCCCGACCGTTTCATAGGGGAGTCTCCCCCCGGAATCAGCTGCCCAATAGAATATTGAACAGTCAAAACTTGAAACCTCAAGCGGAGGAAGGCAAAGAAATAATTTTAATTCCTGAAGCCCCTGAAGTAATCAGCTTACAATCTCCCTTTGTCCCCTTGGGTTATCAATATATCAATATATAATCACTGTAAAACGCTAGGCGAATTCAAGTTGATTGATTGTTTAAAAACTCTTCCAACCAAGGTATAGGGATCAGTAACGAGAGTTCGTTTGTTGAATACTGGGCTTCAAGGGTTAAACGTTTTGACGTTGTGACAACTTGAGCATCTTTTCTAGACAATTCTCCGTCTTGTGACTTCAAACTACTTTGTTGAGGGAGTGGGAGAATTTGCTACCCTTGGGAGGTTCAAGAGAACTAACCCCTGGGATTAGGAAGACAGTAAGGGAGATCAGGTCTCCCAGCATATCAGTAGCCTAACTGAGTAAAATATTACCTAAGGAAAGTTGTAAGATTAGTTCATTACTTCCATAGAGTGCCTCTCTCTAAACTGATCTAAATTCGTACTCTAAGCCGCTTGCTCTTTCGTCGGTATTTAACAGTGCTGGGGCGGGGAGGGGGGTTCGGTCAAACCCCCTAGATTAAAAAAAAAGAGACATTATAACACGCTGACAGCAGCAGGATGCCGGAAATCCCATTTCCCAGGACCTCAATTTTATAAATTGTCCCCGGACCCTGGTCCGCATCTCGAATCCCCGTCTCAAAAAACCTTTATCCGCCCCAGCAGTGATTTGTTTTTTTGTTGTTGTTGTCGTTGTTGTTTTGGTGGACACAGTATTTAATAGGTTTAATCATCAAAAGTTCTCTAACGTTGTACAGATTCGCTTAGTGTAAGGACAAGTAAATTAGGACAACATTCAAAACGACAATTTCTGCTCAGAGCAATTGCTTATACGTAGATTCAGACATATCCTTGCTTTAAGGCAAACAGTGTTTTAGGGGTTAAGAAATTTAACAATTTTCGGTGGTAGTGGAGGTTTTTTTTTTAAGGTTCATTTTACTTTTTATTTTTAAGCTGATAAAACAATGTACAACGCCACATGGCCCAGTGATGGTCTGTTGTATTGCCACGAAGATGCATCTAAAGTAAATTTAAGATATATACATTATATTTATCTGTTAATGCTGTTTATGGTTAGGTATATTCTTCGATGTAAATGAGTGGATTTACTCATCTTACTGTGAAAATTGTCTTCGTCTCCCAAATACTGTACCCTAGTGTAGCGTTACATATAATCACGTCACGCGTGATGACTTAGTCACGCCAAGTTTTAAGGTAACCTTTGAGAGCGGCTGCAGGAAAGCTAACAAATAGTTTGTAGAGATTTTTGTAGTGATTATTTGTAAACTTATTCACTAGAAAGGAAGCTTTATGAAAAATTCATTTTATTTGGATATAGTTGATGCCTGCAAGTTGGCATAGCCTTACCTTATTTGATTATAAATAATCGATTATAGTTTTAAGTATTTTAGGAGTTAAATCACGCATTTTAGGAAATATGCCATTATGTAATTAAGAGTGAAAGGAAACAAAGTCATATGTTTTTTCCCTTGGGATTCTGTGTGTAGATGTCTTGTTTGAGTTTGAATATTTCTCACTGTTCATTCAAACCGAAAGTATAGCGAAATGTTATTGCATCCACTGTCGCTTTCATTCGCTCCACCAACCACTGCGATATGGCATTTCTAGGCTTGGAAGAAACGTCTAGGTTGGAGGGAGACTAAAAGCGAGTTTAAGTCCGGATCCCCGTCCACACTACACCGGAGAAATTTGAAAACGCAGCTTTATTTCTACAGTTTGGTCTACCGTCCACACTAATCCGTCACGAAAACGGAGCTTTTCGAAAACGCTCTTCAAACCGGAGGAATTTGAAAACACCGGCTCTGCGTTTTTAGTGTGGACGGAAAAATTTTGGAAACGGATCTTTTCGAACGATGCCACCATGATAATGATATGATTTCCCTGAGCGAGGTTTCCTCAAACATAAATCCAAATTGACCAGAGATTGTTGCGTTTTCAAATTTCTCCGGCGGAGTGTGGACGGAAAACATTTAATGCGTTTTCGGAGTCTAAACTCCGTTTGCAAATTTCTCCGACGTAGTTTGGGCGGGTCTTAGTGAAGAATCGAACAGCGCTAATAAACAGAGATAGGTTCGAATAAAGACATATTCATCATATTTACGGAAAGACTTTGGAATCTTTCGGAAGCGTCTTCGAACATGGTCGGGTCGTCTATTTAAGGATTAAAAGCAGTATACTGTAAACTCTCATGCCTTAGGTGTGAGTCACACTCCCAACTTTCGCCTATTACGTAACCAATTTTTCACGCTTTTGGCCGGGGACCGGGGAATCTTCGGACAGTCTTCGGAACTCTTCGGACGTTTTCGGGCGTGTTCGGGTCTTCTTCAAAAATCTCGGCACTTCGGGGTAAAAATCTCACTTCTTTGATTCGGAACAAGGTGACCGGTATAAAAATTAATATCATTTGATGAGCAAAGCCTCTGAGGAACACAAACATGACCAGTGTCATACCTAAATTATTTACCTTCATTTTTAAACACACAGAGATACAAATAGCAGAGTTATTGTTTTGGACTTGACAGATCCTCGCAGTTTCCATAGACACCGTCATTGATTTATTAAAAAGGGCTATGTCGCAATAGTTTGTAATAAAGCTAAAAGGGTGGGATTAAGGAAAATTGACACGGATTCTAAAAGCGGCCTTGAAAAATTTAGGCTAAATTTTTCAAGCTACATTATCCGACAAAATGCATTTTTAAAATCTTCTATCCCGGCGAAATTCAGTGTAGTAGAACATTTTCACTCACGTGACCAGCACACATGCAACTTTATTGGAACAAAAGAAATTGTTGACATAAGAAAAGAGTTCAACTCGCATAAGATTGGTTTAGTTCACCAACATGGCCACCGTTTCATTGTTTTGGAACACCATTAGAACAATCTTTGTTTAACATATTTGCCTCATTGGCATAAGCGATACAGTTCCTGATTGAGTTACAAAAACATTAGCTCTCAATATTGAAAGGGCACAGCACGATTAACAGTCCCAAGGAATTTGAGTCCGATGTATTGAATAGTTTTCGTGTGACGCGAGCTTAGAAACTCAAAATTTTACAAAGAATGTTAGAGCTCATTAGTACTTTTGCCACCCAGAAATTTTGCAGTTTTTAAAAGCCAATTTCTCCGCGAATATTACACCCAAAAATCCAAACATCTCACCAATAACTATTTTTCACAAGCTCTTTAAATATTTCTAGTCAGTTGGTGTCTAGCGTAATGGCTTCTATGCGCAAAGTAGTATGTTTATGAGGAAAAATGTCAACAATGACGTCAGCCGTGACGTCATGTGAAAACGATTTTTAATTAGGAGTTCCAATTGGGCGCCAAACAGTACAACGGGTTCTTTATGAAAATAATCATTTAATTCGCCCGAGAAAACGCTATTTTGGATAACTGAAAGTAAGTTGCTACCATGGGAAACTCTTAATCATCATGATGGTTTAAATGCTGAAGATCCCCAGTGCGCATTCTCCGCTGTAAGATGGCCTCCTTGGAAACAGTTTTTAAGTCATATGCCAGACCGACCAACGCGCATGCGTCAATAATCCACTTAGAAACGTTGCACAGGGCACCCAGCTCGGCCGCAGCGTAGTCCTGTGGAAATGCGTGGTGGTAGTTATGGTAACCCTCGCCGACCGTTGCTAGGATTGCAATGGCGTTCTCCGATGGACTAATAGTCTCGTCATAAGGTTTGTCTCCGTACATATGGGCAAAGCTGTTCACTGACCATGCAGCGTTGAGGATGAAAGCGTAACGGAATGCGAAGCTTATGAAAAATGCGTTCGAGAAGGTTTCATTCCAAAAGTACCACGGTATGCAGGTGGGGATTACAATATTAAAGAGTATGCTGAGAAGCTTGTAGTGTCTGGAATAAAAATACAACTGAAATATTACTATTTTTTTATGTTTATTTATATATGTTTCGCATTTACTTTGTTGGCTCTACTTTAATTGTCTATTTTTCCAATTCCCCTTAATTCACTCTGTTTGCCACCCAAATTTTGCATTTGCTGTTAATGTGAAATGCTCTACGCAGATCTCCCAAGAGCATTTAAAAATAATAGTAGTTTATGGAAAATTTGGGGGGCAAACAGAATGTATTATGGGGCATGATATTTTATTTAATAAGTTAGTGGCAGGTTCCCACCCGAGAGGGGCGGGGGCGCGCGGGAGGGAGGGGGGG